TTTTTAAAATCAAAGTTGAAATTAAAGCCAATATCTCTATCTGACTTCAATTGAATTCCAGTGGATATTATGAGACCTAACAAATGAAAAAATATGATAATGAAAACAGATATATGCATGTGTATGATATTTAAAAGGTCATTAATCGATCTATGAATGATCAAACTTGTACGATGAGAGTGAGAAGCAGAAAAACAAAAAATTAAATTACGGAGATGCTTTTCAAAAATTTATAGATGAGATTGTTAAATAGTACCTATTTATAAAAAAAAAAGATTCAATGTTAGAATGTCTATTTTACTGATTCTTCATTGTTCGATAATAATCAGAAAGAAATTGGATTTATCATCTGATAAGTCTTGATGCGTTCGTTTCGAAGTCAATTGTAGCAAGGAAATGTTATCGAAATCAATATTTATTAGATACAATCTAGATTTGTTGAACATGTATATTTTAAAAAAATTATCTTCTAAAAATTGATCCTTAGAACTGTAATAGTTTGATGTGATAAGATCGGAGTTGAAGTTGTAGTGAAATTTAAAAAATAAATCCGAAATTACAGATGAAATGTAAGGTTAGTATAGGATATAGCTGAAGATGACTATTTCTGTATTAACAAAAGTAAGAGTTCACTGTAACTTTACTCTTCAATGATTTTCAACTTAAAATTCTAAAAATTAGACATGTTTTCAATTAAATATATTAATTAAAGCATCATTTTTTAATCAATTCAAATAATTAAGAAAGAATTTTCTATTATATTCGACACACTATTCCTTTAGATGTATTCTAAGATATGAGGGGAAAAGAGAAATCTTCTGTTTCAGAAACAATTTTGCTTAAGTTCAATTAAAGTCAGAAGGTACCATTTAATAAATTAATATTGAATATGTTCTATCAATTCACTTGCATTTCTAGCAACTCATGCTCATCGTGACATAATATCAGATTAAGCCACTGTTCAAGAACATAAAGAAAACAACATTTTTTTTTTTAATTTTGTTATCTAGATAGACAGATTAATATTTATTAATAGCGGTTTACAAATCAAAAGAGTGTTCTTTTAAATTTTATTCCTTAAATTTTTAGTTTTTTTTGAAAAATTTTCATTAATTTAAGATTGGCATTGGTATCATGGTTGAATTGTTGTCATTAATTCCAAGTCTTTTAATTGTTCAATTCTTTCGACGCATTCGAACCCGTCAACAAATTTCACCCATATATCAGACTTTATATTCGATTAAACCATTGGTACAAGTGTCAGTAGATTTTCATAATAAATATTTTTTTAAATTTTAATCTCTTTATTTTTAATAGTTCTAGAAATGTTAATGTAATTAAGAAAAAACGAATTATAATAAGATTTCCTTGGTGGTGCTTATTTATTGCTTATACTCTTTCATTTTTAATGATTGCCGTTTCAATTCTTTTTATCATTGCTCGTGGAATTGAATTTGGTGATTTAAAAACACAGAAATGGTTAACATCAGTTCTTACTGGATTTTTTTCATCGATTCTACTTACTCAACCTATCAAAGTATAAATTTTATTTTCATCAATGTTAATTCTTTTTAAATGTTTTTTTGTTGAAGATTGTTTGTTCGGCAATATTTTTTGCGTATTTTCTTCGAAATTCAAATGAGGATGAAGAAACAAATGAATATATAGATGATAATAAAATTGATTTAAATAATAATGAAGATTATGTTCATTCAATCGAGGTTTGCTTTTTCATTTCAAAGAACAAATAATTTTAAAAAAAAAGTTTTCATTATCTAGTATGACTCTTTATGTAATTCTCAATCTGGAAAACTTATGAATCGTCTTAATGAAAATGAACTAGCTGATGCTCGTCAATATCGTTTAAAAGAAATTCAAATGTGGTCAATTATTCGAGAGTTTTTCATATATTTGACATTTTTGACGTTGATTTGTATAATAGCTTATTCAAATTGTGAATATAATAGTTTTCTTCAAGTTCATCATTTACGAAAATACTTTTTCAATTCAAAACAAATTAGTTATGATTATACGGAGGTTTATTGTTTTTTTTTTATTTTTATTCTTTTATACAAATAAATTTTTATAGATTTCAACAATAGATGAATGTTGGAATTGGTTAGAAAATAGTTTTGTCTCGAACCTTCGTGCTCAACAATGGTATAATGGCGAAACCCCACGAAATATGAATGGTTATATAAATGATAAATCTAATCGAATAATCGGGTGGTCAACAATGAGACAATTGCGCATTAAATCAAATTTATGTTCTGATCAGCGTATTATTTCAATATGTAACAATGATTATAGTTTATTTAATGAAGAAAAACATTCTTTTCAACCAGGATGGATTAATCAAACATCAACAGAATTAGAATATAGTTCATCAATTTTGAAAGCATTTAAATATACAACAAGTGATAAATTAGATACATATATTTACATAGGTCAATATGAAACATATAGTGGAGGTGGTTATATATATGAATTTCGTGGTCGTTTATCAGATCTTAAAAGTAATTTATCTAAACTTCATCAATTAGGATGGATAGATGATAAAACAAGAGCTATTTTTATTCAATTAACTTTATATAATCCAAATGTTCAATTATTTACTTCAGTTACTTTTCTTGTTGAATTTTTATCAACAGGTTCAATTTCTCCAACAGCTCGTTTTGAGCCACTTAATTTTTACGGTAACTTAATTTTATTTATTTTTAATAAGAATAAATATTTTCTTTGATTTATAGTATTTACATCAGTTTTACAATTGGCTTGTACAATATGTTATATGTTCTTTATTATTTATTTTATGATAATCGAAATTCGATTATTATTTAAATTAAAATTAAATTATTTTCGTCAATTTCGGTCATTGATTGAATTAGGTATTATTATTTGTTCATTGGGAAGTGTTGTAGTTTATATTTGGCGTTTTCAAGAATTTAAACGTATAAGTCGTTTATTTAAAGAAACAAATGGATATGTTTATATTAATTTACAACTTGCAGTTTATGTAAATGATCTTTTAACATTTTTTCTTGGTTTCTGCTGTTTTTTTGGTACAATCAAATTTGTTCATCTTTTTCGTTTTAATCAACGTATATCATTATTTACTGAAACACTTCGATATGCTGGAAAAGAACTTGTTTCATTTTCTATGATGTTTGCAATTGTATTTATGTCTTTTCTTAGTTTATTCTATTTATTATTCGTATCGAAAATTTGGTCATGTTCAAGTCTATTATCAAGTGCACAAATGCTTTTTGAAATGACATTAATGAAATTTGATGCAAGTGAATTAATAGGAGCTGATGCTATTATTGGTCCATTATGTTTTAGTACTTTTATTCTGCTAGTTGTATTTGTATGTTTGAGTATGTTTATTTCAATCATTAATGATAGTTTTCGATGTGCTCGAGAAAATCAAGTCGAAGATCAAGATATTTTATCATTTATGTTAAACAAATTATTAAATTGGATAAGTAAATATGTTTATTTAAATTTTATGAAAATTATCTGTTCTAATTGTAGGAATGAAAGCACTAAGTAGATCACAAATCACAGAAAAACAAGATTCTCGAATGCGAGCACAATATTTTCATCCAATAGAAAATTTTCCTGATCGAATTGATCAATTATTAGAAGCTATCAGTAGAGTACGTTATTATAGCGTTTATTTTCTTTTAGAATTATTTCTTTTTTTGTTTCTAATATAGCTTTATATCAGTCAACAAGCTGATCTATTAAGATTAGAAAAAGCTGGAGTTTAAAGATTTTCTTTTCTTTTCATGGGTAGAACAATGTGAAAATAATTTACAATATGTACATACAACTTTGTTTTCAATTTTGATTCGTGTTTTCATCGATATTCAACTGTTTTATTCAATTGTATGCATTTGATATTGCTTTTGTTTAGTTTCATTTAATCAATATATATGTTTGAATATAAGCATTTATTTCATATCGTTTTATTATAGATGATGAAAATGAAAGTTTTCGTTCTCCTTGAACCATTTTTATTTTTTAAACTGCCTATTCAGGTATTGAATTTAGTGACGCTGTTTTATTAATAGAAGGATCTGGCATAGGAAAAATGACTGACTAAGCTAAATAAAATGCATCATACAAAAATAATTAACAATAAAAAATTAAAAGTTTTTTCAAATACAAATTCTATTGAATAAATGACGTTTACTAATGAAAAAACAAACAAACATATATCAAAGCTAACAAGTAAACATAATATAAACTATTAGTTTTGTCTTATCGAAGACCTGTTTCTTTCACTACATTGTCATTTACTAATTCTTTTCGATAGATTTACGAAGAAAGAAGTGCATTGAGGTTATATAAGTGTCAATGTGGGTTTGGATAGTCTCTTCACATATCCACACCTACACTCTAAATAGTGGACGGATGAAAGATGAAAGAAAAATTCTCGATTGCTAGGAGTATTTAGATAAACTAGATCAGTGGTAATAGAAGGAGAAGATCTTTTTTGAAATTTTATTTTCGAAGTTTAAACTATTCGATATTCTATTTTATTCACCATTTTATATTTCGAGATTTTAGTGTTCGAACTTGTTGATTTTTCTTGTTCAGAATTTCGTCGTTCGAGACTTTCTCTTTTGAAATTTCTTTTTCAACTTTTTAACAGTAATTCCACTTTTTACTTAGTTTCTTGTTCTTTTTAACAATAATGTTCCTAATAAAGATAAATTCAATTACTCGCTAACTATCACTAACTACTCAGTTAATTTTCAAGATTATTGTATGGTTTTTCTATCATTGAATTCAGCAGACATTTCTCCACTCAATAATTATATAAAAAACGAAGACATTTCTTTACGAATTGTTTGTAAGAAAAGGAACACTTTTATGTCTCCAAAAAACTGTTTGAATTCGGAACATTGCCTACAGTTGTGTTCCTCGTTTGCAAAGTTCTGAACATGGCGAACTGGCTAAGGGTGTGGGTATTCGTCTTAGTCTTGACTTCTATCACATACACACGCAAACGCACACCTATCAAAGACGAAAATCGACAATCTTGCTATATGATTTTTTATCGTATACTAGCTGTGACTCGTTCTAATTTATCAATTAAAATTCTTCTTAAATATTTGGAAGATTAATTTAAAAAATACAAAGTGTCTTGCTAAAATAAAAAATGAGAGGCAAAAAGAGTGTGTGGGTGCACCTTCATCTAATCAACATCTGCATCCACCCACACTCACACCCTCTGCGGTAGCCGTGGCAGATCAAGGGGAGTAACCACGATTGGGCGCGCATGAACATAAATGTGAGAATGAAAAGGGAACAAACTTTACAAATAAAGAAATAGAGGAAAAACCATACTAAAGTTGTTTTTTTACCAGAATGATTTTATCTATTGTTGCTTTTATAAGAGGATGTGAGTAATGAAGAGCCTTTCTACGCAAAGAAAACGCTTTATCGAGGTATTCCAGTGCTTTTGGGAAATTCCTTATGTTACTATACACAACGTTGATGTTGTCATACGAAGCAGCCAAGTCTGGATCGTTTTCAGAGAGAGATTTCTTTCTTATTGTAAGAGCTTTTTCGAAATAACTCAGCGCTTTCGTGTAATCATGCATGCCGCTATACACACTACCGAGGCAGACATAAGATTCAACCAGATCTAGATGATTTTCAGGAAGTGTTTTCTTTCTTACTTCCTTTCTCGTAATATTGCAGTGCTTTCGTGTAGTCACCCATGTTGTAATACACACGAGCAAAGCTGGCGTAAGAAGAGACCAGCTCTGGATGATTTTCATGGAAGCATTTCTTTCTTATTTTAAGTGCCTTCTTGCAAAATTCGAGTGCTTTTGTGTAATCCGCTATGTTTTTATGCACGACGCCGATATTGTTGTAAGAAGTAGCCAAGTCTGGATGATTTTGGGGCAGAGTTCTCTGCGATATTTCAACATTTTTCTCATGATATTGTAGTTCTTTCGTATAATCACCCATGGTGTTGTACACAGTACCAAGACTGGCGTAAGAATTCGCTAGATCTGCATGGTTTTCAGGAAGGGCTTTTTTTCTTATTTTAAATGCTTTCTTGTAATATTCCAGTCCTTTCGTGCAGTCACCCATGGTGTTATACATCAAGCCAGTATTGTTATAAGAAAAAGCGAAGTCTGGATGATTTTCAGGAAGAGTATTTTTTGATATGTTAAGTGCTTTTTCGTAATATTCCAACGCTTTGGCGTAATCACCCATGCTGTCGTAAGCGCTAGCAATATTATGGTACACAGGAGCCCATCTGCGATGATCTTTCGGAAGCAGTTTTTGGTTCATTTCAACAGTTTTCTCGTAAAACCTAACTGATTCTTTATAATCTCCTTAATGAACTTTTATCATCCCGGGCATGTGGTAAATATATGTTCGCGCATAATCATTGGACGTATCCCTCAGTAACTCATTGCACAGTTCTTCGGCTAGATTAAAGTCACCCGCTTTGAGCATTAGTCGACCCATCCGCAACCATCCTTCACCATCCAGCTCCTCTTTCATCCGTTTGTTCAGTTCAGTCAGTTGTGTATCGTTATCGTCTGTTAGAGTAAATTGGACTTCTCAAAGCCTTTTGTTGGTTTCATTTTCTTTGATTTCACTCACACGAAAAATTGTGTGCATCGCGAAGAGAATTTCTTGTTCACCTGCAATAGCCATATATTCATCAATGAGGGCAAATGGAGTTGATGAGGACAAGACTCTTTCTACATCAATTGTCAAAATAAAGAGGACCCCGACGATGTCCTTCTTGTTCTCCAATGTCTGTTCAACAAACCCCATGGACACATTCTTGTTTATACTGGTGGATAAGAAATTGTTGAACGATAAAAGACCACTCTTAGTATTGACGAGATTCTGAAGGTCTTCCTTTGACAGACCTTGGCCATGGTAAATGATGAGGGTGTGAGTGTAGTTTAAGAGAATGCCAACCTCCACACTGCACATCCACACCAATACCCACACCCACATCCACACCATTTGATCGAGCATATTGAGATAGTAAAAAGTCTAAAAGGATTTCTGTCCATGGCTCTTCCGTCAAAAGTTATAGCTGTCTTACAGAATTTTTGACGCATTCCTAGGTATTTACCGAAAAAATCAAACTATTGAATTGCGATCTGAAATTTTACCCATAGATAGGTCTAATGGTTCTTAAAATATCCTGAAAGTTTCAGCCAAAACCAATGTTTCTTTCTCGAGATATTGATTTCTCAAAAAATAGTCGTTTCCCACTGGCATGTCAGAGAAACTGAGTTCACTTGAAAGTTCAATATTTCGAGAAAGGAACATTGATTTTGGCTGAAACTTTCAGGATATTTTAAGGGACATTAGACCTATCTATGGGTAAAATTTCAGATCGAAATTCAATAATTTGATTTTTTCGGTAAACACCTAGGAACGGGTCGAAAATTTCGTAAAACGGCTATAACTTTTGAAGGAAGAGTCATGAGCAGAAATCCTTCTAGGCTTTTTACTATCTCAATATGCTCGATCGAATGAGATATAAATGAGTCAAAACAGAAGGTTACACCTCTGGTGGTTCTCTCGTTAGTGCATCTTATAGACTTAAGTAAACTATGTCCACCCTAGAGCATTCGTGCTTATGGCCAGTTTCTGAGGAGATAGAATGTTTTTAATTCTATAGCTGTATACTTCTACGGCATCTAAATCACGTTGTACAAAAGTAATCTTCGATTTCGGCGAAATTTTCAGCGTTTGTAGAATTTTTAATTCTAAGCATTTCAATAAAAAAAATCTTCTAAACGCTTTTGTTTTGACGAAAATAGACTCAAGATACTTTAAGTAGTAAAAGCCCACAAGCTCTTGAAAACTTCCAGGAAGTTTTTTTTTTTTTGAGAGTTTTTGGGCTTCTACTGCTTAAATTATTTTGAGTCTATCTTCGTCAAAACAAAAGCGTTTAGAAGATTTTTTTGTTGAAATGCTTAGAATTAAAAATTCTACAAACGCCGAAAATTTCGCCGAAATCGAAGATCACTTTTGTACAACCTGGTTTAGATGTCGTAGATGTATACAGCTATAGAACTAAAAACGTTCGATCTGCTCAGAAACTGGCCATAAGCACGAACTCTTTTTAGGGCAGATAGTTCACTAAGGTCTATAAGATGCACCAAGTCTCCATTGAAAAGCACTTCGACATCTGAGAATGTTCCCTTGTAAAAGGCATTCAAATAAATGATACTATTTGAAGATCACTTTCAATTCAGATTAAAGCTTCTAACTCTTAAAAGACTTTAGAAAAATTCATAAAATTTCAAGAAGCCATATTTACCCTCTAGAAACCTGATCTGCACTTTCGATCAACTAGATTGTGGGAACTGATAGTAATTAATAATTTGAAACTATTTCTTGAAGAGATGAGAATTACAATAAAATATTTCCATACAAACACTCAAGAGTTTCTCGGAACTCCTTTGCTACAAACGAGTCTTGTCCAAATTTGATGTCTTTTTATTCGAATTTTAAATATTTTTTTTGATTTTCAGTGTAAATATTTATTTTAGACAATAAAGAAAAATATTTTGTATCTGAATCATATTGATTCTATAATGAAGAATAGGAATATGATTAATGAATTAACAAGTGTATACGTTGATTTCATTTGTATTTTATCGAGTGTTAATCATAAGTTACATTTACATTGTAGAATCAGATTCAATCTAATAAATCCTATAGTGTAAGTCAAATATAATTTCGGTATATATGAAAAAAGCTACAAAGAATATTTCAAAATAGAAGATTAACCAAATAACAAAAACAAAATGTAAAACAATCAATATAGAAGATCTTATTGCTAATGTTCAACAAGTACAAAAACAATGATATTATTAATATCACATGTTTCATATAATAAGATTTTAAAAGACCAATGGCATATTTTTATTTCAATACAAAAAATTCAAAACCAATTTTTTTTATTCAGTTTTTAAAAGTATACTTTAAAATTAAATAAAGTTTGTTTTGTTTGATAAATAACTGGAATATTTTTAATGAATAATTGAATCTTTTTGTCTTTACATTTAATCTGATTCAACATCATGTTTTACAAATATATTTAATAGACGTGAATGATATTATAATTTATCAATAAATTAATAAATCTCACATAATCACTTTTAAGAACCAAGGATTCCTTCACCTATGGATCTCAAAGCATCATCTATCTATTTTACACAAGTAGCAGATAGAATTTCTAATAGTAAATAGTTGCAACAACGTATTATTATTGATTCTACTGTTATACGTTCATCAAATACCAAAATAATGAACCAAGTTTATTTATACACATTAGTATAAACGCTTCAATTTTCTTTTTTTCGATGTTTTTTTTTGTTGATTTCGATAATGATTCACGGTGTGATAGCAAGTATGTTTCACAAATGAAGAAAAGATTTTTCCTACAATAAGTCATATTCTTACCATAAAACCAAGAGATCCAATCCATCTACTACTCAATATTAAAGAACCACTTCAATTTTAACACTGACGATGTCATTTCTTTTTTTGATTCATGCCTATTTTTTCGAGAGAAAATGAAAATTTTGTATTGTTAGTGTATTATTTTTAATTTAAATATTGTTCGAAACTATCAGGCGTTCAAAATTAAATGCATTTCATCCCTTGTGCCTTTTATTCTTTTCTCTTTGTTTTTTAGTCTTTGTGTCAAATTGAACTTGATTCTTGTTATTGCTGTTCTATTCTTGTAAAGCTACAGTGGCCTTAATTTTTCTGCAGTTTCGTAAAATATCATAACTGCAGTATTCTTAATGTGTACTTCTTTTGAAAATTCTTTTATAGACACCAACAAAAAGAGATGCATAATATTTGCGCTAAAAGCGATCATTTCTAGAACTGTATTTGCACAGTTTGATCGTATCACAAACTCTATTGATCAATAATATTATTCGCAGAACTAGCAATTCAAGAGAACATCGTCGGGTGCTTAAATAAACTCACTGAAGATGCCGGTCGAAACGCTATACTATTTTTAATTAGTGTTGAAGCGAAAATCGGATGGAGTGAGCGTCCATTTCCTCACTCATCCATCCGCTCATATGCTGACAGATTTGCCCTTTTGTTATCTTTTTATTCAAATGTGTAATAGGAGTACATGTTCCGATGTTTAGAATCTTCAATGTTACACGAGTCCAATCTTCATTGACAGAGAATACGTTAGTCATCTGACTTATGAGCCGTAGATGGGTGGGAGTATTTCTTCCGATGCTTGACATCTCCAATATCACGGCATTTCGATCCCCATTGGCAAGGAATGTGTTGATCATCTGGTTTGTGAGCATTAGATGGATGGGAGTATTTCTCCCGATGCTTGGCATCTCCAATATCACGACAGTTTGATCCCCATTGGCAAGGAATGCGTTTATCATCCGATTTTATGGGAGCATTAGATGGGTGGGAGTATTTCTCCCGATGCTTAGCATCTCCAATATCACGACAATGTGATCCCCATTGGCAAGGAATGCGTTTATCATCCGATTTTATGGGAGCATTAGATCGGTGGGAGTATTTCTCGCGATGCTTGCCATCTGCAATATCATGACAGTTTGATCCCCATTGGCAAGGAATGCGTTGATCATCTTGTTTGTGAGCAATAGGTGGGTGGGAGTATTTCTTCCGATGCTTGGCATCTCCAATATCACGACAGTTTGATCCCCATTGGCAAGGAATGCGTTTATCATCCGATTTTATGGGAGCATTAGATGGGTGGGAGTATTTCTCCCGATGCTTGGCATCTCCAATATCACGACAGTTTGATCCCCATTGGCAAGGAATGCGTTTATCATCTGGTTTGTGAGCATTAGATCGGTGGGAGTATTTCTCGCGATGCTTGGCATCTGCAATATCATGACAGTTTGATCCCCATTGGCAAGGAATGCGTTTATCATCTGGTTTGTGAGCATTAGATGGGTGGGAGTATTTCTCGCGATGCTTGGCATCTCCAATATCACGACAGTTTGATCCCCATTGGCAAGGAATGCGTTTATCATCCGATTTTATGGGAGCATTAGCGCGGCAATAATTTTCGTGATCTTCAGTATGTCCTTTGTTACGACTGTTCGATCTTCGGTGTTCTTCATCTGATTCATGAGACACAGTACGATGAGAATAATTTTCCTGTTCTTCCACGTTTCTATTGTCGCGATTGTTGGATCGTTGTTTTGAACTAATGCGATTATCATGTTGCTGTTCTGGAACAGTGCTATGAGAATATTGGTCGTAATGTTTTGGATTTGTCTTGTCACAGCATTTCGATTCCGATTCGACAACAGCTAGAACTTCAGAAGTGTATAGAGATTGCTGCTGTTGTCGTATGTGCTCTGTTGATGACTCGCTTTGTTTTCCTAGAGTTAAGGGAACGTGAAAGAACAGGAAAATTATTCTCATCGTACTGTGTCTCATGAATCAGATGAAGAACACCGAAGATCGAACAGTCGTGATATT